CATAGACCTGATCCTAGATCAGGTCCCACATTTGCGAAAATAGCTTTTAACTTTTGGTATGTTACGCTTCACACGTTCCGGAGTTCGGCAGGAGGTATTTTACAAAAATCATAACTACGTCAAAGGTTGACAAAATATAATTGTTAAACCTTTAAATTATTGAAGAAAGGTGAAACTTTTGCGTGTGAGACATTTAGCTTGTTGGAATAAAAAACAGTGTTTTGGCAGCGTCGGACATTTATAGCTAGAACGGTCAGAGTCTCCCAAGGCAAATTAGCCTGTTTTGAGGTCACCTTGAAAACCGTTACCGTCTCGTAAAAGATGAAAAAAAATTGAATTAATCCAAATAAGGGTGACATTTGTACACTGGATATAATAATTGGCTTTCACTGAAAAAAATGAGGCCAATCGGTAAAAGTCTAAAATTTGGCTTATCCGTTCTTACGCGGACAGCCTCTTAAGATGTTGGCTAGCTTTGCGCCTGTTTTCCTGTTTTGGAGCTATTACCCAGATTACGTGGTGTATTTTCTAAAGTACTCGCTGCTCGCAAAACAATTTTTGGTCACTGCTTGTGTTCGCAAAAATAAACCCGCTGCTTGCATGGGGTTCAGCCCCCGCAGGGGAACTCCGTTTTTGTCTATATTTGTGTTGGACTCCATTTATAGTTTTTCGCACAATCTTCTATTTTTCCCTTTTGAACCGAGTTAGAGGTGAAAAGACCTTTTAAGTAAGGACATCAAACCTGACTGACGGCAAAAATACCCTTCTAGCGATAGCCATGTGTTTTTCCATTTAACATCGAACTTCTGCCGGCCTTTGCCAATTGGATATAAGCTAATAAAGAGAGTTTAAACGAAAAAAGACATACCAAGAGGGGTATATTATGCGATAAGCCAGATTTTATGTCCCTTGTTCAAAGGTCTTTTAACCCCTTAATATGATTCAAACAGAAAAAAAAATTGTAGGGAAAAGATAAATGGAGTCCAACACAAACATAACAAAACCGAGTCTCCCTGCGGGTGCTTAACACCATGCCCTTCCGAACCGAAGCTTGGAAACGTGACCAGTGGGCTACAGGGAGACTCCTTTAATTAGGTAGCAAATTTAACGAAACCCATATGCACAT